TATTAATAGCACCCCTTTCACTCTAAGACGTGCCTAAGTTAAAAAATATATTATTTGGACACTAGTGATAATACTACGAAACTCACTTTTCTTTTGCATTTTACGTAGGATTGATAAGGTTTCTTTTCCTTTTTCTGCCATCTTTCCTCTCAGTCCACCCCACACACACAAATATAGGATGGATGGGGAGAGATCAATGTGTGTTATGGAGATGGAGTTAGTAAGAAACAACATGAAAGAATTATGAAAAAATTTTGGGAATCAAATGTTAGCTTTCTTTTTTTTTTTTTTTTATTTTTTTTTTGTGGTACCCGGGCTTCTCACTGTTGTGGCTTCTCCCGTTGCGGAGCACAGGCTCCGGACACGCAGGCTCAGAGGCCATGGCTCACGGGCCTAGCCGCTCCGCGGCATGTGGGATCTTCCCGGACCAGGGCACGAACCCGTGTCCCCTGCATCGGCAGGCAGACTCTTCAGCCACTGCGCCACCAGGGAAGCCCAAAATGTTAGCTTTCTAAAAAGCATTTCTAGGGATTAGATATTTGAATTTTTATATTTTAAAACATTTGTTATAATGTTGGCCAACTCCCAGCATCTTTCTCTGTTATGATTACATTTGATTATATACTCGGTTTGGACTTTTAAAAGTTTAGCTCCATTAGCTTGTTCATGCTGTCAATTTTTATAGTTTGTCTTTTGAAGAACATTTGAATTCCTGCTATTTGTTCTGTAATTGTATTTCTGTTACATTTTCTAATGCATTTAACATTTTTAAATGGATAGTTTATTAGTTATATGGCAGTTATGGTTTTATCTGTGACAGGAATCAATCCATCTAGTGTTTTATCAAACCAGTCTGAGTTTCAAAGAGCATGGGCCAGAAAAACAAGTGTATAATATATTCACAATTCTTCCAAGAATTGTTTTTGATTTAACATCTATTTTTGTTAGGAGATAATCATGTAATATAAATCTCATAATGACAGAATTTCCCAAGAAGATTTCTGTGAAACAAGGGGACTCTTCAGAGAGGCAGCCTAGTATGATGGAGAGCATAGACTCTAGCACCATATGGTTTTGGTTCAAAGTTGGGCTCCATAGCTTACTTGCCACGTGACTGTTGTAGGCAAATACTTAACTTCTCTGTGTTTCAGTCTTCTTCATAAAATGGAGATAATGATACAACCTACACTTTTTGCAGTTGTCATGAAGATTAAATGAGTTATTATATGGGCTTCCCTGGTGGTGCAGTGGTTGAGAGTCTGCCTGCCGATGCAGGGGACACGGGTTCATGCCCCGGTCCGGGAAGATCCCACATGCCGCGGAGCTGCTGGGCCCGTGAGCCATGGCCTCTGAGCCTGCGCGTCCGGAGCCTGTGCTCCTCAACGGGAGAGGCCACAACAGTGAGAGGCCCGTGTACTGCAAAAAAAAAAAAAAAAAAAAAGAGTTATTATGTGTACACTGCCTAGCGAAGTTCCTAGCACAGGGTGAGTACTCTGTGTTTGCTATTACTGTTGTTGTCAGTGGAAGAATCGCTCAGTTTCTTTTTCTCAAACTTAATTTGAAACATTAAAAGTCGATTAATAATATTAAAGGAAGTATTTCTAATCTTTATGTTAAAAGGAATTGTGCTGCTTCTTACTGAAGTATGCAGGTTGTGACAGGATGTGGAAGACATGTTACCTGATAAGAGCCGTTTACAGGGACTTCCCCAGTGGCACAGTGGCTAAGAATCCACCTGCCAGCGCAGGGCACACAGGTTCGAGCCCTGGTCCAGGAAGATCCCACATGCTGCGGAGCAACTAAGCTCATGCGCCACAACTACTGAGCCTGAGCTCTAGAACCCGCAAGCCACAGCTACTAAAGCCCACGCACCTAGAGCCCGTGCTCCTCAACAAGAGAAGCTACTGCAATGAGAAGCCCGCGCACCTCAACGAAGACCCAACGCAGCCAAAAATAAATGAACAAATAAATACATTTATATATAAAAAAAAAAGAACAGTTTACACAGAAATCTTACCAGCAAGCACCTATGAGAGGATCTACTGGTAGAAACTTCAGCTTCTAGCATTTTCTCCCATTCATTTCAGTTTTTCTCTTTTTGAATTACCTTTATTTATTGGTCCTTCAAGCCCCAACTTACACGTCTTCCCATCATTCACTCATCTGTTCCTCCAGTTAAAAATAATCAACTCCTCTTCTTTGTGGCCATAGAATTTTGTTCATGCCTAAATATAGCACTAATTATAGTTAACCGGATGGTGTAGATTGTAGCATGGTGAATGCCCTGGTATCTTCTAATGACACCTCCTTTCATAAGCCCTAATATTTGTTTATTCTGGGTTTTATTTCTTTCTCTGTTTCTTCCTTTCTTTCTTCCCTCCCTCCCTCCCTTCTTTCTTTCTTTCTTTCTTTTTCTTCTTTCTTCCTTTCTTTCCTCCTTTCCCCCTTCCTTCCATCCTTCCTTTCTTTCTTTTTTCTTTCTCTTCCAGTTTTGAAATACAATTGACACACAGCACTGTATAGTTTCAGGCATCCAGCGTAATGATTTGACTTACATACATCATGAAGTGATGACCACAAGAAGTTTAGCAAACATCCATCATCTCACAGAGATACAAAATTAAAGAAATAGAAAAATTTTTGCCTCACAATGAGAACTTTTAAGATTTACTCTCTTAACACCTTTCGTATGTAACATACAACAGTGTTCATTGTTTTCATCATGTTGTGCATGACATCCCTAGTAGTTATTTACCTTATAACTGGAAGTGTGTACCTTTTGACCCCCTTCATCCAATTCCCCCTCCCCTCATCCCCACCTCTGGTAACCACAGATCTGATCTTTATTTCTGAGTTTGTTTGTTTGTTTCTGAGGTATAATGACCTACAATACTATGTTAGTTCCTGTTCCACAGCATAGTGATTCCATAGTTCTATACATTTCAAAATGATCACCATGGTAAGTCTAATTACCATATTTGCTTTTATTTCTGTTGCCCATTTTTGCAGTAAAGAAAATATATATAGTTAGGGACTGAAGCTTTGCCATCTACCAGCTAAGCATTCATGATTAATTAGTACTGTAAATGTATCTACTTGGAATTTTGCAACTGAAATAACTTATAGAATAATAAGGCTATAGTATTTGAGAAATGAAAGTTGTGACCAATTTTGGATGGTTTACTGACTAAAATATATAGATTCTCTAGGGATGAAAAATATATAAATGTTTAATATACTTTGAGAACTTCATTCTATCTATAAAATTAAAAATTTCATGTTTCAGTTAATTTGAGAATAGTAGAATATTTCTGAAGGTCTTTGCAGTCAGGATGATATCAGAAAATAATGACTTGCTATTTTGTGATATCTAACTTAAAATGTACCTGCACTTAGATAATAGTGTACAAAAGTTATTTTCTTTTTAATAAGAGTTATCTATATTCCAGTTTTTTTAAATTATTTTATTTCTGGCTCATAAGCTATTTTACTGATGAATCTCTATTGGCTGACATATTCTAAGTTTTAAAATTGTTGTTAGCATCACCATACAAAAGATGACTTTGAGCACTGCCACAGCAAGTATGACCACTAAATATTTCTACCTAATAGTTATTAGATAGATTTACTCAAACTGTGTGGATTTTCATGGCTCCCTACTGACATTCTCCATCAGTAATAAAAACCAAATCTAATATCCAATCCAGTTCTTTATGGGAGATAGGTTGATGTGATGTAAAAAACACTTACATTGGAGTAAGACATAGCTGGGCTCAAATTATGGCTTTAACACTTCAGCTGTGTGACTTGGGCCTAGAGATTTAAGCCCTCTAAACTTCAGTTTATTCAGCTGTAAAGCAGCTTAGAAAGTATAACATCAAGGATTTGTAGGGATTAAGTGAGCACAATCATTTATGTTATACTCCAAATTTATTTATGTTATAACTGTTAGAGAAAAGGATTTTCAAAAAAAATTAAGTGACTCTGAAAGAGGAGTTACTGTTGGTATTTTTCTTGATTCAAACTTCCACTTTGATTAAAAAACAAACAGGATTTGATCTTTGAGGGCCCATATCTGTCTGTATCAGTCCTAATTACTCACTATTGTTACCTTCCACCTTTTGGACATTCCCCTTAACTGTCACTCAATGTATCGTTCTGTCAATTTCAGTTCCTGCTGTCATCAGCACTGTAAGTGGATGACTCATAGTCTGACCTCATACTTCCTTGAGCCCTGCATGAGTATTGACCTTCATCTCAGCTCTTTCATATAGCTACTCTAATGTCACACCTTGCATCTTATGAACTAAAATTCCAGGGCTGAAGACACTACTCTACCTCTGAATCACTGTTCTCTGACAGCAATCTCTAGTTTTCCATCTTGCCTGTACAACCACTTCCACTTAATCTGTTAGTTATCTTATCAGGACTTCAAGTCCTTTGTCCCTTACTTTCTCCTAATCTCAGTCCTTTTGTGTTCCCTTCTCTTTCCTTCCTCTCCATGTGAGACCCAGGGTCTATCAGTTTAGCTGTTCTCCTGCTTTTGTCCCAAACTTCATTTCCATTTGGATTCCTGTGATCTCTATATCCCTCATTATAACATTTTATATTGCATTTATTAACTTCTCAAAACCTCAGCTCTCTTGTGGATAATATGTTGGTAATTATACCTACCTCATTAGATTATGGTAAGAATTAAATGAGTTGCTATAAATACAGACTGTTTACCCTACCTTCCCTTCGACCCTTGTGGAGAATAATTGTGGAGAAAGGTAATATGACATTTAGAGAGTAGACCATGTTTGTACCTACACTGCTGTGTGCTGCTAGAGAAACTCACCAAGCCAGGCACATTTGTATCATATACACTGTGGGACACCAACCCTTAGGGTGTCCCTGAGATTATCAGTTAGTCCAATTCCAAGCAAGCCCATTTATGAGTCTTTAAAAGATGGATACTTGTGTAGTCGGAATAACTGAAGTGTACATTTACACTTTAGAAACCTCCGAGAAGCAAGGGATAATGCTGTGGCTGAAAAGGACCGAGCAGTGATGGCTGAAAAGAATGCTCTAGAAAAACATGATCAGCTCTTAGACAGGTAAGCATCCTGAAAATAGAAATGTTAAGACTCTTCGATTTTTGTTCCTGTTACTCTTTCTTTTAGAATATATTTTTTTAATAGAAGTTTAATTTTCATTTCAGTTGAAGTGTAATTTACATGTAATAATTTACATATGTAATAATTGCATATATTGAAACAAGATAGAGAAGAGTTTCCTTATACCCCTTTGGTCAGTCTGAACTACCACCCATCAAGAGGCAAACACTTTGTGATTTCTCTCACCATAGCTTAGCTTGTTCTTCATGGACTAAAAATAAATGGAATTGTACAGTATGTACCCTTTTGTGTCTAGCTTCTTTCACTCAACATTATATGTTTTCATCCATTTTATGTTGTATCAGAAGTTCATTTCTTACTGTTGCTGGGCATAAATATACCACAGTTTGTTTATTCATTCATTTGTCAATGGACGTTTAGTTTGTTTTCAGTTTGGCGCTATCATGAATAAAGCTGCTATGAAAATTTTTATACAAGTCTTTTTGTGGGTATATGTTTCTGTTTCTCTTGGATAAATACCTAGGAGTGGAACTGCTAATCATCGAGTAGATGAATGTTTTACTTTAAAAGAACCTGCTGGACAACTCCAAGGTGATTGTACCATTGTATACTCCCCAGATTATTTTTCAAAAACCTATATTTTCTGGTTCATGTCTGTTGGAGGGAGGGGAAGAGAGAGAGTAATTTGTCTTTAATTAATCAATAGAAAATATATTTAATAACCTAGTTAAAAGGAAAATCACTGATGAGTATTAAAGTAAATATCGTTACCTCATCAAACAATGTATTTTAGTGGTTCAACTACATGCAGAGTAAACAGAGTGGTTACCTTTTTTTTTTTAACTTTTTATTTTGAAATACTTTCAGACAGAAAAGTTGCTAAAATAGTACAGAAAAGTTTTCATGTACCTTTCACATACTGGTAAACTTTGAAAGTAAACTTTGAAGATAATCTCAGTGGGTCTTTTAATTGTTAAATGAAGATTAATTTGTGGTTTAAGCAATACATGGAACTAATAATTCAAGCAAGTTTTCACATAATTAAACTATTGCTAATCCTCTAGAATGTCAAAATCTTTTAGAATGGTCCAAATTGTTATACTTCTGAATTCACATCAACGTTATAAACTTGACTCATGGAGAAATTCTAATAAATGTAATAATGAAGAAATCTTTTCTATAATGTGAAAGTATGTCTAATTCTAAAGATCTTAATATAAAATTAAACATTTATAAACCAGCTGCTTTTATTAGCGTGCTGTTGCAACCTATCTTAAAATTATCTTTTATTATGTATAATCCTTCTGTTTATAAATCTATATCATGTCCACTAAAGATTTACTTAGCTCCTTGTTGTTGTTTTTGAATGTGATATATTTAGTAATGGCTCTAGAATAATATTTATGGACCAACTAACAAGCTTTAAAAGAAAGAGTAAGTAAACCAGAACTTATATTCACGCAAAATTTCATAACTTGCTAACTTGGTATGTGGTTGTGAGTTTGGAGAGAGAAGAATAGTAAATGTGGCCTTAAAATTGGCTGCTTATACTAAACTCTGTAATGTCCTACACTCTGAATCTAAAATCCTTCTTATCCTACTTGTTCACACACTAGCAACTGGGTATTTATCCTGAAAGCCATGCGATACTTTAATATCTTCTGAATTACAGAGAATTCAGTCATTTAATGTTTGTAAAGCACATTAAAACAGTGTCTTGCACATAGTAGTTCTACAGAAATTATTGGTATTATAGAAAAATTTGCTGAGTTGATTCTGCTTTAACTAATGGAATTTTTGCTCTTAATTCCTTGAAGTGATAGTAAAACTTTTCTTATTTGGAGCCTAATTTTCATCCAACCTTAAAAAATTAGGACAGTTTTAAAATCAGGACAAAGAAGGAAAAAAAAGAAAATGTTTCTAGACACACTAGAAATAACCTATGAGCAGCAAATAGTGTTAGTGCTCAGAACTTTAAAGCACATTATAGGACCAAGGATTTATTGAAAAAATGAGAATAATGTCTGGAATCTAAAACTCAAAATAAGCTTGGACTTTAATAAAATGCCTAAAACAGCTAAATGTACTTATCTGTTTTTTGAGCTACAATATTAAAGTAAAGGGGAAAATCCCCATGCTTAGGGTTATAATGTTGCTAGATGATTTCAAAAAAGTAAGATTCTAGATATCCCCACAATTTAATTTTTCCTTAATTACTCTATAAACTTATTACAATTCATGTCAATAATTTCAAAAGACTTTTAGTGAAACTTGACCAACTGACTCTAAGATTCTTTTTCAGAATTGCTGTGGCTATGCTTGTTCCTACTCTTGTACGTTTACTCTTACACATGAATTTTTATAGTTATATTTTTCATGTTAATACCTTTCATCCGTCCAGAGTTCATTTGGGGGTATGGTGTAGATAGAGAACGAATTTTATTTTATCTTGCTCACTGTTAAGTTAACTGTACATTTAATGGCATCCAAATAAAAATACCAGCAAGATTTTTTTCTTCTTAATCTACACTCTAACTTTCTCTTGTGTTGGGTGGTATGGGAGTAGCACAGGCCTTTTGGGATCCTGGAAAGGGTAAGTGAGTTAGGGATGTATTTGGATTAAGTGGTTTGCAGTCACTTCTGTTTACAGTTAAATTATTGCTAGCCATTTCTGAGTATCAGTGGCTTCCAGGAATATTCTTATTACCCACTGTGCAACATAGGTTGTGAGAGATAGGAATGTGTCTCGGGTACCCATTACTGGAACCAGGGATTATTGACCTTCTTTCTTGGTGGAGGGATAAGCAAGATGCAATCATTTATCCTTTATTTGGAGGGGAAGCCCTGGCAGTCCTCTGACCAGTGGATACTTAAACTTCTTACTGATGTGGTGGCTTCTCGAATCTTCATAGGGTTTTTTTCCCCCAGCTTTATTAAGGTGTAATTGACAAATTAAATTGTAAGGTTTTGAAAGTGTACAATGTGATGATTTGATATACACATACATTGTGAAAGGGTTCTCCCCTCATGGAGTTAATTGACACATCCACCACCTCACATATTTACCTTTTTTTTTTTTTTTTTTTTGGTGGGAACATTTATGGATTTAAGGTCTCTCATAACAAATTTCAATTATACGGTACAGAGTTACCAACTGTTGTCACTGTGTTATACATTAGATCCTCAAACATTATTCATCTTACAGCAGGATTTTTTTTAACCAGACGTATCAAATCTATGGTTCATATGAAAAAATTAAAGATATTTCTTAAATAATAAGACTTGAAAGTCGAAATTACTCCTTGATCCATGGGCTGCAGAATCGATGTGTTAGCAGGCATGAAAACAACATTCATCTCATTGTACATCTATCCTCAGAGCTGTTGGTTAACTAAACACATTGTCATTGAACAGTAATATTTTGAAAGGAATCTTTTTTGTTTTTTGAGCAGTAGGTCTCAACAGTGGGCTTAAAGTATTCAGTAAAACCATGTTGTAAACAGATGTGCTGTCATCCAGGCTTTGTTGTTCCACTTATAGAACACAAGTAGAGTAGATTTAGCACAATTCTTAGGGCCCTAGGATTTTCAGAATGGTAAATGAACATTGGCATCAACTTAAAGTTACCAGCTTCATTAGCCCCTAACAAGAGAGTCAGACTGTCCTTTGAAGATTTGAAACCAGGCATTGACTTCTCCTCTCTAGCTATGAAAGTCCTAGATGGCATCTTCTTCCAATAAAAGGCTGTTCCATCTACATTGATAACTTGTTTACTGTAGGCATCTTCATTAATTATCTTAGCTAGATCTTGTGGATAACTTGTTACAGCTTCTACATCATCACTTGCTGCTTCACCTTGTGTTTAAGTTTTATGTTATGGAGATGACTTCTTTCCTTAAATTTCATGATCCCATGAACCAGCCTCTTCAAGGTTCAAACTTTTCTTCTGCAGTTTCCTTACCTCTCTTAGCTTTCAAAAAATTGAAGAGACTTAGGGCCTTTCTCTGGATTAGGCCTGGCTTCAGGGAGCGTTGTGGCTGGTTTGGTCTTCTATCCAGACCACTAAAACTTGCTTCATATCAGCAGTAAGGCTGTTTTGCTTTCTTCATTCCTGTGTTCACTGGAGTAGCACTTTTAATTTCCTTCAAGAACTTTTCCTTTGCATCCACAACTTGGCTAACTGTTAAGCACAAGAGGCCTAGCTTTCAGGCTGTATTGACTTTCAACATGCCTTCCTCGCTAAGCTTAATCATTTCTAGCTTTTGATTTAAAATGAGAAATGTGTGACACTTCTTTTCACTTAAACACTTTGGAGGCCATTGTAGGGGTACTGATTGGCCTAATTTCAGTATTGTTGTGTCTCAGGGAATAGGGAGGCCCAAGGAGAGAGAGAGAGCCTGGGAAGATAGGCAGGGAATCTGTACATGACCTTAAATGCTAAGCTATGCAGTCTGGATGCCATTCTGTTGAATGACATGATCAGAGTTCTCAGTTTTAGAACAATTACCCCAGAAGAATGAGGAATGAAATACTAAACTGATAACCGGAAGATAATTCAGAGAACATTATAAATAGTTTGCTATCTTATATAGGCATGGTTCATGGCGCCCCCAAACAATTACATTAGTAACATCAAAAATCACTGATCCCAGATCATCATAATAAATATAATAATAATGAAGAAGTTTGAAATATTGTGAGAATTGCCAAAATATGACACAGATACTAAGTGAGCAAATGTTGGGAAAATGGCACTGATAGACTTGCTTGATGCCACAAACCTTCAATTTGTAAAAAATGCAGCATGTGCGAAGTTCAATAAAGCAAAAGCACAATAAAAGGAGGTATGTCTGTATAGGCTTGGAAGATTTTAATGTGGAGATACTATTCTACAGTAATGGAAGTTATATCTAGAATGTGATTTGTGATTATCTTATTTATAGAATCATGCTGGGTCTGGGCACCGAAGCTCTAAACCA